TATTCCACAGCAAAGTGTTAAGATTAGATTGTATGAGCCATGGGGTCTGCTCCAACTGAAGCTTCTGGGAACATTTTGTACATTTCTTACACTTAAATATTAAAGTAAAACTAACAACATCATAACTTTATGCAAGCGTTATACAACAAAGCTCTTCTTTAAACTGAGCCTGTATTACCATGCATCCTTTATACGTGGCCATGTGAGCATAGCTGTCAGACATCTGATCTTATAGCCAGTCTAGACAGATGTCTCACAATAAATGGTATGTATTGATCTGCACACGCTTCAATTAACTCTCTGTTTGAAATTGACATTCGTGTTCACCAAGTCAGACTTGATGCAGCCCATGGAAACCAATCATAATAGCACTTCTCTGACCCATTGCCCCCAGCACTCTCTTACACGCACAAAACACACGGAGACACCCAAATCCACCTTCTCAAAGAGGACCCTGGGTGTAATTATAGCCTGTGGTCATTTAAAAGTGTGTGTGTTTGTTCGTTTTCAGTAAATGTCACTTATATACCAGTCTTATCTCTGAGCTAGTGCTTGCCATTATCAATGTGACGCCCAAGGGTGCAAAGATTTGTCCACCCTGGTTGGTACATGCCAGCACCCTAAGCCATTTGAATGTGTGTGTGTGTGAGTGTGTGTGTGTGTGTGTGTGTGTGTGTGTGTGTGTGTGTGTGTGTGTGTGTGTGTGTGTGTGTGTGTGTGTGTGTGAAGGACAGCGTTAGAGCAGAGAGCCCAGAGTGTCACCGAGCTCATTCAGATTCTCCGCTGCATCCGTGTAACCATGACGCTCCTCCAGCCAATGAGTTGGCCCGGAGGAGGGAGGGATGGGGTTGCCATGGTTACACAGACAGGGGGAACAGGAGAGGTTGTTTTTTCTGCCTCTCCTTTGCAGGTTTGTGTTGTAAGGTATGTGTTTGAAGTGTGCGCCTGGTATCCAGGGACTCTGTGCTGTTAACTTGCATAGGTGCATAGAAACGTCTTGGAAGCACTAATAATAAACATGCTGTAATTAGGTTTCATGAACTGAGCTGATGATTGTAGTGTGCTTAGGATTTATTCAACTCAAGCAGAAACAAAAGTCCAAGGATATTAAAGTCTGACTATGACTATTAACACAAGCTTAAATGGCCCATATTACGCTCTTTTCTGATGTTATAATGTTGTTTCCTCATCACAAACATACATAGAGTTGTGTTCTGTTTCATTCACACGTTTAACACACAAAAACCCTAGGAGTTTCAAAACAAACAAAACACATTCCATTCCACCTTGTGATGTCATGTGGTAATACAGGAAGTGCTCCGCTATGTTTTTAAACTCCATACATCTTTACTAGAATCATTTGATTAATTTCAGCCCTGGAATTACCAGTCTCTACCGAACAAAAGGTAAGGAGCTATTCACTTGAAAACTACCAGTTGACATGACATCCCATGGTGGAACAGAGCATTTTGAGCTTTGGAGATGTAGACAGACTAATAATAGAGGATTACTCAAATTTGTGTGAATAAAACAAAACACAACCCCGGGTGTGCTTTTGATGAAGTAACAACATTATAACATGGCTTAAAAGCTCTCAAGAGTCAATTTTGCGTAATATAGGGCCTTTAAGACAAGCTTAAATGAGATCTAAATCATTAACTAAATCTTGATGAAAGCATCTTTGATTCTGCTAAACCCCTATGATGATGATATGATACATGATTTCTGTCTCTATTATATTTACCTAGATATGTATATAGACAGTATTGTGAAATCACTGCACTAAATCACATTTTAGTCTTCATAGCTAAGAGTGACAGACTCAAGCAGAACAAATAAGCAGTCAGCTGATCTCTTCTCTGTCAGGGGAAGATCGCATGAGCTCACAGGGGGCCGCACTCAGGGGCACAAGAGAACTACAGGCACAACAAGCAAAATCCCAGGGACAAAGCTGCACCACACCTCACACTCACCATGGGCTAGTCTGAGCATACACTGTAAACATGGGCAGGAATATGAATCATGGGTTAGTGAATGATAAGTAATGGGCCATTTATAAACAGTCAACTTATGTATTATGAATGTTACTTCAGTGTAAACCATTCAGCGATGGAGGCAGTACTCAATTTTGTTACTTAAGTAAGAGTATAGTAGCCAGGCTAGCACCACCTAGTGCCTCCGCTCAATTTCATTTCTCTCCAGCGACTATGTCAAGAATCGGAATACGCTAGACGGTTTGCAAGAAACCTGGAAGTTGTAGACCGTGCACCGGCCAATCAATGAGAAGCTGTGAAGCCACGAGTGAATCTCTTTTGTGAAACAGCACAACAGTAAACAAAGCGGTCGAGATGGATGTAGATGAAGCCATACATTCTGTGTTGGCAACGATTCCCGAGATCGAGGATTTAAAGCCGGAAAGTGAAACCAGCTGATGAATCAGGCTAAGAGTACAGAGACCGAAGCAAAAAAAAAAACTCAAGTAAAAGTGAAAGTATAACATGAAAAGATCTAATTAAGTAAAACTATTAAAGAACCTGTTTAAAAATGTACTTAAAGAGTAAAAAGTACAAGTATTTTGTGCAAATTCTGAGATCTAATAAAGCTTAAAGATTTCATTTTTTATTTGAGTTTTTTTTTTTTCTGAGCTGTTTGTATTTGTATATTTTTGTTTGCTGAAATTTCAAACGTGTTCAAAATAAACCCTCTCAGCAGGGAGCTGTCAAACAATAATGAAAAATACTTTCACTTTTCAGTCTAGTTTAAAATGTAGTAATGTAGAAATTACAGATATTTGCTCTCAAATGTAGTGAAGTAAAAGTAAAAAGTAGCCAGTAAACTACAGATACCTAAAATTTGTAGTTAAGTACAGTACTACTGTCACGTTGTTAGGTTCCACCAATCAAACCATTACATGTTTAGATACATACAATATACACATTGATAATAATAATGCAGTAGTCTTATAGCACTTTTCCAGACACTCAAAGTCACTTTTGATTTGTGCATTATTCCAATCTTGGCATCCAATCTGCAGCCCACCCATTACTCATATATCATATTTATACTAGGAAAGCTGGGTGAAGTGACTTGCCTAAAGACAAAAACGTTGTAGTAGAGCCACTGCCTTCCCAGTGTGGCACCTGCTATTCCCAGTGGTCTCCCATCCAAGTACTAACCAGGCCAACCGTGCTTAGCTTCTGTAGTCAGACGAGATTGCGCATTGACAAAAAGGTTTAGTACTCATTTGTACTTCCAATTACTCTCCTTCTATTGTATTTGCATGAAAAATAAACCAAATTAATTTGACGACTTTTTGACATTTCTCTAAAACAGGAAATGAGTCATAACCAAAGGGATACTTGTGAACACTTGAAAGCCTTTTGATTTATTCTTTCTTGTCTTGGAGTGTGGTGTTGTTGGAATCTGATGGAACAGCATTTCTTGGCTCTACTCGCCTCATCTGCTGCAGACTTCCTTTGTATGAAGTGCCAGATTTGGAGTGTACAGGGTGCGAAGTCAAGGGCATGTTTTCCATCATCCAGAAAGCCTCATTAAGAATTTTCCTCAAACAAAAATGAAACAGCAGTATAAAGTAAAATATGCCGGGGCAATGTATTTATGTCAAAATTTGATTGAGATTGATTGACATTGCTAGCATTTAGGATAGCATCAAACACACTCAGCCTCAAGATGTCAGTGATACAAATATTGCGGTTCCTATTCTAAAATATTTGAATCTTTGCTGTGCAAGTTTAAAGAAGAACCAAGAAATAAACTGCTAAACAGTCAAGTGCCTATGACAGATTTTTATGATTATGTTTATGATAATTTTGACTTCAGTGAGATTATATCTGTTGCAAATCTCAATGATATTTATACACAAATCAAGAAGCAATTTGTGAAGAAAAGTTGAAAAATATGTTGTAGAGAATTTTAAACACACTGATGACACTAGGGAGAATTCTGTCCAAAAGTTCGGCACGTTTTACTTGCAAGAATGTTTTTCTGAAATAAAAGAAATAAAATAAAAGTGTTGTCTTTATTTGTATTTGTCAGATAGTAGTTTCTTCACACGTTAGAGTAATTTTGCCAGATAACAGTTATGGAAGTCCCTAGTGTGATGTCAAGATTTCCAACCACAAAGTAAAAATTTAAATCTAAAAAATGGCCAAATTGGGCAAACAAGTGTGAAATTCTTTTGCAAAAATTTTTACTGTAATGATCTTAAAGGTGCACAGTGTAACATTTCTGGTGGAGGGTCCACTACCTGTTGATGGAGATGGTACTGCTTTGCCTGGATTCTTTCACAGTTTGAAAATGGTTATTAGAATAGAAACAAAGTAAATGGTCAGATCTACGAATCAAGTCTGCATTTAGTAAGAACTAAGGATGTAACAATAACCGAAATATTGTGTTATCGTATTGTCAAAAGTCTCACAATAATATCGTGGGCTGTCACAGTATATTGAGTAACACAGTAAGTTTTTTTGCTTAGATGCGTGGTTTTGCAAGTAGCAACTGCTTATAAACGTAGGGAACTACATATCCCATAATTCATTTCAGTGCAAACACAAACACAAACACAAAGAAATGTTTTTTACTTGAATTCTTGGGATTATGACGGAAATAATTCCCACCAAAATCTTGTCAAGGTATTTTAAAAGCAGAAACGTAAATATAACCAAACCATATAACCAAAATATTGCAATAAATATCATTCCATGACATGTACATCTTGATAATATCGTACCGAGAGATTTTGATATCATGACTTCCCTTGTAAGAACTCATGTTTTTCAAGGTATTTTTGAGCTATAAAACACCTGTATTTTAATAAATGCAAGTCAGATGACATGAAATCACCACGGAGACAAGCATGTAGCAGACCTTCCACCTTAGAAGTTACACAGTGCGCCTTTAACGTGTGTTTTAATGAAACGAAACACCTGACCTTTCATATGCACTTTAAATAGTAACAAATCCATCGTGTGTGTGTTCAGCCCACAGCCGTGCCCCAATCCCGATGGCGGTGGTGCGGAGGGAGCTTTCGTGTGAGTCGTACAACATCGAGCTGCGCTGCCCGGGCACTGACGTCATCATGATCGAGAGCGCCAACTATGGGCGAACTGACGACAAGATCTGCGACTCGGACCCAGCCCAGATGGAAAACACGCGATGCTACCTGCCTGACGCGTACAAGATCATGTCACTCAGGTAAGACAGAAACCTATAGATGCTATTTGTTCTGTATTTTATTAAAGGGACCATATTACGCTATTTTCTTATCTATGTTTTAATGTTGTTTCCTCAACACAAACACATCTGGAGTTGTGTTTTGTTTCATTCGTACACATCAAACATACAATCCCTGCATATTCAGTTCTTCTCTCAAACAGAAAACACCTTGTGATGTCATGTGGCAATACATTAAGAGCTCCAGTGTGTTTACCAATCTCTACTGAACTAAAGGTTAAAGGTATCTGTTAACTTTCTACATGACATCACAAGGTGGAAGAGAGCATTTTGAGCTAACAACATTAAAACATGGCATCAAGCTTCACAAGAGTACATTTTGCGTAATAGTAATAATAATAGGACCTTTAAGTATTTCCTGTAAACAATTCATTCATACAAACGCTTTCAGATGTGTTATTTGTTATTTTATACATTTTTCTAGTGTACAGTATCTTCTTTAAAACACTATCTTGAAGACATGAATAACATATTTGTAACTTTCTTATGTCCTTTTGTGAATATTTAGAAACCAAGATAGTTGCTGTTTTAGCTAGGAGACTGTCATATGCAGTTTAAATCAGAAGTGGTTTTCTGTTATTTAAACTTATGGGCAATAGTGTTTTTTGGATAGTATCAAGCACAAATAGTAGTTAAATTATCAAAGGATTATGTTTTTTAAAAAGAGTGAACCATCAGGTATGTTATTAAAAATCAAAAATAATAAGTGCATCAGAGGCAGTGAAAGGCTTCGCTTAATGAGCCAGACTTGGTATAAATAATTCATTATTCATCAGCATCCATTTTGAAATGTTTCAGATAAAGTGTTGGACTGACTGAGTGCTCTTCCCTGTTATTCCATTAGGCTCTGTGTCATGTGTGCCTCTCTTAGCTGTCCTTTGTCACCACACCTGCAGTCTGCCTCCTGGGTGCCACTTGTTTAGCCCTCTCTCTCTCTCTCTCTCTCTCTCTCTCCCTCCCTCTCTCTCTTTCTCTCTCTCTCTCTCTCTCTCTCTCTCTCTTTCTCTCTCTCTCTGTCTCTCTCTCTCTCTCACACACACACGCACACACCCCCGCGCACACACACACGCACGCATGCACACACACACACACACATCACACCGTCTCTCTCTCTCTCTCTCTCTCTCTCTCTCTCTCTCTCTCTCTCTCTCTCTCTCTCTCTCTCTCTCTCTCCCTCCATCTTCATCTCTCTCTCTTCTGTTCCCCTGTCTCTCATTCTCTCTCTCTCTCTCTCTCTGTCCAGGAGGGGCAACTCATTTTTGATATTTTTGCTGTAAATATATCAGTTTGTTTGTATAAATGGCATGAGGTGTGGATGGAGTTTAGTGCAAAATGTTTTTTGACAGACTCAATAAAGGTCTGTCTCACTCTCTGTCTGTCACCCTCTCGCTTGGGCAGCTGCAGCTTCTGAGGTCCACTCTTCCTCCCAGCACTGGTCATCCATAATTCACACATATACTACGCAGATGCACGCAGTGGCCCACACACACCGCGCACTGCCCAGGGGCTACAGCACGCTTTAAGCTCCAATTAGCAGAGCCAGAGGCCAGGCTTAATCTGAAGGGAAGCTCTGATGGGACTGCTCAGTATAGGAACAACTGTCATATAGACCTATTTATGAAAGAGGGCTTGTATTGTAAAGGAACAACAAAGACTTTGAGAAAACATTACTGATCCCTGTGTTATTGTATACAGAAATGCAAACCAAAACTTCATTTTATTTATTTGTTTAGCTATTACCATTGCATTTTAAGTTAGAATGATCTTTTTATTTGCATATACAGCTGTTTGTTGGCAAAGGTCAGTAATGTAGTTAAAAAACGCAATTTAGATTATTTCAGCTGATTTACACAATGACTCTGTAACTACTGAGAGCAAGTGTTCTCAAAGTCAGCTCCAGAATGTATTATTATTGATTAATAATTAGCCTTAGAAGTTACTTATTCAACCTTTTACAGCTCAAATGTGATTGTGTTACAACAAAAATACCCCACATCCCCCCACTTTTACAAAGAAACTCTACACAGGATAAGTATTGGACCCAAAATAATTTCATTCCAGCTTTATTGAACAATAAGTCAATATAGTAACAGGTCTAGGTCTTGGCACAGCTTGGGGCCTCTCAATTTGGGAAATTCAGCAAAATAAGATGAGTATAGGGCTGGGGAATGGGTATACTGTTAAATAAGCCAACCCCCTGGCAATGGAAGTAAAATTGAAAAAAAAAAAAAAAAAAAAGATTAGCTACAGAAACTGCTCAATGAAGAGAACTTTCCTTGGGATTGTGATCTGGGCCAACACTTTAGAGATGCCATTTCTTACAGATTTTGTATAGAACTATAACATATTCATTTAATGTTGGCAGTTCTCGTATAAGATAAACTTATCTCAGCATTTTTGTGACAATTCCATCATTCTCATTGAAGTATTAGGCATTGTGCACAATCCATCTGTGTCCCACTGTAGCTGCTGCACCAGGGCCCTTTCACAGCCTGCAGTGTGTGTGTGTGTGTGTATGTGTGTGTGTGTGTGTGTGTGTGTGTGCGTGTGCGTGTGTATGTGTGTTCTCATCTGATATGTGCTTCTCCAGTCTGTTTCAGCCTGTCTGCCTGTGCCCCACTCTTCCATTCCTTCTATGTCTGTACGGTTGCTCCACGCCTTTAAAGCCTACTAGATAAAATCAGAGCATGTTCTGCCTGCCCAGTGTCTCCCTCTGTATCACATTCTCTTTGCTTCGTGCTCTCTCCTCGCTAAGGCTGTTCATGTTTATGTGTGGCAGGGAGGACGTACTGGAAGCTGTGTGTGTGTGTGTGTGTGTGTGTGTTGGCCCATACCACATAATTGGTCTTGATATCAAAGGCTCATATCTCAAGAGGGTCTCACAAGGCTTCTCAGGCAAACCTAGAGAGGCGCCGATATCGCTGCATTTCCCAGATTATCTCCCCATTGGGATGCACCAGGTTGAGAAGGAAACAAAGCCATGCCATGAAAGTTCTGCTTAATCTGTTTTTGCGATATACAGCGGTCCCAGCTCAATGGCTCAATCTCTTTTTATCGGGTTAGTATCTAGGTGGGTTTTAATATAGTCTCCTCGTACTGTACTGCTACATCAGGTGCGTCCAAGATATCTGTCATCAGAGAATGTAGCAGTAGCACTTTTAGATGACAAATGGAAAAACAGAATGGTTATTTACATACTTTAGAAATACAGGCAAATGAAAGATTTAAGCTTATGGACATATTGTTGTTAATATAAAACTTATGGTGGAAAAAGTTAAAATGATACTAAAACAACTGTGGTTTGCCAATTAGCATATTACATGGAGCATACTGCGATAAGAAAAGAAGTTTTATTGCTATTTTCAATTAAAGAAATTCACAAAAAGCTTGATATGAAAATAATAAAGATAGACTTTAACTGAATATAAATACAAAATATACAGTGTGAACACAATAAGTTTAGTTGTTTGAGTTATTTATTACACAAAATTGACTCTTGTGTTAAGCCATGTTATAATGTTGTTATATCATCAAAAACATACCTGGAGTTGTGTTTTGTTTCATTTACACATGTCTGAGCAATCCTTTATTATTAGTTTGTCTACATCTCCAAAGTTCAAAATGCTCTGTTCCACCTTGTGATGTCATGTAGTGGTAGTCCATGGCTCCTTTTACAAGAGGTGGGACCAAGTCGTTGTTTTGCAAATCTCAGGTAAGTCTCAAGTCAAATACAGGTCCAAGTCCAGGTCGAGTCTCAAGCCACTGGCCCATAAGTCCAAGTCAAGTCCAAGTCGTTTGAGCTTCAAGTCATTTCAAGTCTTTAAATCAAAGTACCAAATATAGCTTAGATTTTTACAATTTATATAAATTCTAAGATAAATTGTACTTAAAAAGTATACATACATAGTACATAGTATATTTTTATATGAGTATTTATAGTATATAAGTATATATACTTATAAGTATATAAGAGTATATAAGTTGTAGAGTTGTAGAAATGTTATTTTTTCCTTTTTAAATGTTATTACAAGACCTTAGTGTGAATCATTACGTTCAGCATAGAAAGAATTCAGATTTAAAAGTGCTTCTCAAGTCTTGTCAAGTCACACACCTCAAGTCCAAGTCAAGTCCCAAGTCATTGACCTTCATGTCCAAGTCGAGTCCCAAGTCTTAGTCCATTTTATCAAGTCAAGTCTCAAGTTCTAAAAATAGTGACTCAAGTCTGACTTGAGTTCAAGTCACGACTTGCAAGTTCCCACCTCTGCTTTTACCTTTAGTTCAGTAGAAATTGGCAATTCCACATCTGAAATGATCCAAATGATTCAAGTAAAGGTGTATGGAGTTTAAAAACACGGTGGAGTTCTTCCTGTATTAGCACGTATTATTATGATATTACAAGGTGGTGGAACAAGGTGTTTTCTGTTTGAGAGAAGAACACAGCCTAAATATGCAGGATTTGTGTGTTAAATATGTGTGAATGAAGCAAAACTCTCCTCCAGGTATGTTTTTGATGAGGAAACATTTTAATATAGATAGGATAATAATAATATTAACCTCCACATTCAGAAACATGTGTTCCTTTGTAGCTTAAAGGCTATTCAAATTATACTGTAAGCTATAACGTCAAATTGCTTTATTCTTAGATGTTTGTCTGTTTAGTCAATGCCAAAACCATGTTATTGACTTGCCACTAAATGCTTAGCTTATAGCACCATCTATGCAAACACATATAGATCCCTTACAAATGTAATCTTGTTCCAGCAAAGCGGCTAAGAGGCTAAGAGACTGCATTTGTAGTCTTTCCATTGTGCTCTGAGATAGACAGCTGCTAGCCAATGTCATCTCATGCCTTCAAGTTATAGCCATCTCCACACATCAAAGTGACTTAATGGCCACTATGGAGATGCTCTAGCGTGCACTTCCTTGCGCCTTACTGATACTTGAGTGCTTCATGGGCCAAG